CTGGACTATAAGCCGCAGGTGTTTTAATGTTTAATTACCATATGTAAGGGTTCGTGCACAGAGGGGATTGTCGGGAAAGAGATGGCTGTTTGAGGAAGGTCCCATTTATTAACATTTCAACAAACAAGTTTCATATTTGCATAACGTATTCAAGTGTTACCATTTAGTGCAATAGTAGCTACAGAACATTTACTGTGCTGTGTAAACTGTACTGTATCACATAGCGTTTCAGACACACAAACTTTTCAACTTTCAAACTTAAACGGTGCGCTCCCAGCGCACGTACCGGCAGTGATCTACAGCAGTGGTTTTCAACCAGTGGTACGGGGACAAACTGTCTCGCTCTCGTAATGTCTGTCTGTCTTGCTCTCGTTCTGTCTCTCGTACCACTCTCGGTTCCACTTTTACTTTTGCGCGCTACCTGTCTGACTCTTTTCCGGCCTCCAGCTTTTCCTGCTGGAGCCCGCCGCTTAAAGGTGGGGGGCGCGGACCGGCCATAGAGCCCATAGAGTTAAAGGTGGTGGACTGTAACCTGTAAAATCCATAGATTTAGGAGGTCCCCTAGTGGCCGTTAGCTGTAAAAATCCATAGATTAGCCGCACCGTTATATAAGCCGCAGGGTCGAAAAATGGGAAAAAAGGCGCGGCTTATAGTCCGAAAATTACGGTAGTTATTTCCTAGAGTAATGGATTGGCTGATTTACCTGAGGAGGCAGAGCTTTTCGGATTCTTGTCCATTCTGTCTGGCTGGGCGTCAGTTGTGTGAAGAAGTGGACCAGGAGGGGGGAGTCTTGGTTGCAGACAGAGACGATTGTCTCCACTACGCTCTGTACAGCCAGAATTAGAACCTGCAAACTAAAACATAATACCAAGAAGAGTTAGATAGAACCACAAAATAGGCTTGGACCAATTCAGACCCACGACAAAGTTCCAAACTTCATGAGGGATTACTGATAGACTCGCTTCGATTTTTTTAAAGTACAGAGGGTGTTTTGTTACCTTTTAATATCCAGAGAGACGGTGAGTAGTTGTTTGGTGACCCAAAGAGCTGCACTGTGCAGGAAGCCCCCTTCCTTGACTTCATATTCAGAGTGTTTGACCAATGACTCGACCCCAGCCACACATACTTTCCGCAGTTTACCTAAAAGTGAGTCTTTGAAAGCAAAAATGAACATAATTTAGCTATTAAGCTTACTTGAAGTATTATAAGAGTATGCACTGGGCATGTACCTACCAGACAGATGAGTGTGTGTTTGGTCTTGGGCAGTCAACTGGAAGACCGTGAGCAGGAGTTCCTCGGCAGAGAGCAGGAGAAGACAGTCTTGTACGGAGGAGAAGAACGTGGAGGCCACATCACAGATGAAGCAGATGAGTGGCTCCATGTTGCCGGCATCGGACAGACCCTTGGTCTCAGACAGAGTGGCATGAAGCCTTTCTAAGATCTTCTCCATGTACACCTCCCCTATTAGAGGTTCTGCACAAGTAAAAGCAGATAGAAAAATTGCAAATGTAGCCGGTTGATACGAAAATCCACAAACGATTTACATTAAAAGTCTATAAAAGTGTCATTTTACCATTGTTGTGGTGCTGAGAGAGGACCAGGCTGATCAGTGTCCAGCTGTGGCTGCTGGATGGAGAGGCAGGCCTGGGGGGGCTCTCTCCCACCTGGCACAGCTCTTCAGTCAGTGCCAGGAGCTGCTCGCCCAGAACTGAACCTTTCAGCCAATCACGACAGCTCTTCAGAGTCTTAGGATCTGTACATGCCTGAAATAGTGGACAGTAGCACAGATGTTTAGAACAATGTAAATGTGATGTATCGATAGATAATGTGCTTTAATTTATGTCCAGGGAAGACACGTACCCTCTGTATAATTTGCAGGATGATTCCCCATTTTACATCCATCTAGAAAGCAGAGGGGAGTATGAATGTCAGCAAAGAAACAACAGCAACCTCACAGTTTAATCCACGACACAAAGATTGTCACGGAAGTAACATGTTCCGACTTCTGCGTCTCATGTTACCTTGGTGATGTGGTTGAGGATGCGGGTGGTCTCCTGCTGGCTGCAGCAGTAGAGAGAGCTGAAGACCATCTCCACCAGATGCTCAGTGTCGCTGCGCTCCTCCTGCCCCAGCCACACCACCACCCGCTCCAGCAGGAACTGCATCGCCGGGTTCTTTTTAATCACCTCGTCCTCCGGCTCAATGTCCAGTATTTTCTCATCCAATTCCACCAACGTCTAAGCAGCAGAAATTAGAAAAAAGTCAATTGCATCCGGAATTGTAAGCGCTTCTATAATTAATCCTAATACATGTTTTTTTGTTCAAGCCCTCTTATTCAAAAGTGCTTTCACTTCCAACTATTTTTCAGTGGATTTTTTTTTACTAAACTCGTCCCTTACAATTAACACAGATTAAGCCTTTACAAGGATTTATTCATGGATCAAAACGACACACGTTGAAACACGCTTATCTGTCAAATGACTCACAGTGAAGACCCTGGGAGTGTGGAACGATTGCAGGAGAAGAGAGAGGAAAACAAGATGTCTCTCAGAGTTTTTCTCATTCACATGTACCAGACACAGTTGTGCCAGCTGGCACACTACATCTTCAAAATGCTGGGTCTGTAGGGACCCAGATGTCTTCTCATTCAGCTCCGACTCCGTCTGAACAGGCTTCTCGACAACATCCCCCTCCACTTCACTTTTCTCATTGTCCTCTGGTGTGGAGAAACTGATCTTGACAGATTTCTTCTTCTGGTCGTGCTTTCTTTCTACTCTCTCAGGGTAACGCATTACCTGGAGACAGAAGAGAAATGGAGAATAGATGTATTCAGGCATTCTGTGTTCACTTGTACCCCTCTATTTCTTTTTATGTGTGAACCAGAGATTCCCAAAAAACAACAATCTCACCTGCAGCAGGGCGGCTACCCCTTCCAAAGCTTGTCGATCTGCATCCTCATTGTCGGCATAACGCACAAATATAAGACCAAGCCCCTCCCAGAAATCTGCCAGAAGCTCTTGAAAGACATCTCGGTTGTCTGTAGCTTCCTCTTCGCCCTGTAGGCCTGCCCTTTTCTCCCAGGAAACAAGCATTTCAGTGACCGAAAAGAAAAGAGGCCCATTTTGAAGGGAGGGATTTCCGAGAGCCTTTTCTAGCAGAGGAAGCAGCTATAAAAAAAAAAGACAATAAACAATGTAAGGCAGGTAGAAGACATAAGTAGATGGGAAATGATGGGAATATGTAACTCTATGATCCCACCTGCTGTGAGATAAGTATTGTTCGTATTTTTTTCTGCTCCTCCTCTTCTTCTGCATTTTGCAGTATGCAGTACCTCAAACACTCAACAACAGAGGTCACGATGACTGCACTTTCCGATGGGCTTGTTGCTGCGCGCTCACTAGACAGACTGAGAAACACAGACACTTCGGGTTATAGTAGGATATAGAAACTATAGTTAAAAACAAGTGTATTCAAAAGTATACTTTTAAATCTCTATCTCCTACACAGAGTATATGCAGGAATCCTGAAGTCAAATGTAAGACCTTTTAAGACCTTTTTAAGACCCTTTCCTACATTTTAAGACCACATCGTCACTTGGAGTTTTAACCGGTTACCTTGGCGACACACTTTACCTCACATTTACTATATACAGTATTGATTGTCCTTCCTCCTTATCTTCCAACCATTTGGACGCAGACTTGCATTTCCCCATAACGATGTTGTTTAGCAACCGGCGTAAACGGACCTTCGCGCGCTATCAAGCAGTGAGCGTGCGATGTCCTGTTCAGATGACGTCAAATCCAACGGGATGCCATAAATAAACTACACAGAATCACACTACACACCTACGCAATGATTACATTCAGGCAGACTGTAGAATACAACCTCTTTGGACAAGTTATATACTTATTGAAAACAAGCTACAA